TTTTGGAATTACTGTTAGTTCCTTTATCTCCCATTTTAGCACAATACTTTGCTTTCCACCCTGTTTTAGTTACATGAATGTGGGGTTGCCCTTATTGAACGAGGAGAACTGAAGATGCGTAGGTGTGCTTAGTATCTCTGCATTTGTGAGCACTCTCTTTACCAGGCATGAGCTTTAAATAGGAAGGTGATTCTGCCCATTGCTGCTTTTACAACCAGGCAATCTGTGGTCAGTGTCAGCCAGGTGAGTTTGGATAGCCGTCTAGCGCAGAGCAGTTGAGATTCACTTTGCTGAGCAATAGGAAAAAATCCCATGCTTTCCTCAGTCAAAGCTCAGGTACAGAACTCAAGTTTTCAGAGACCTTATGTCTCGGTCCTGATGTGTTTCTTCCTCTTTGTCCTGTCTGCCCTGCCCCAGGTGGCAAACATCCTCCTGAACGGGGTGCGCTATGACAGCGACCTGAGCAACAGCACCGAGGTCCCAGACACTCAGCTTTCCATGAGGGTGCTGTGCAACGCCATCTACAGGATGCCCCAGCCACTGCGCAGTCTCTGCACCAACCACTTCCTGGGTAAGGGTCACCCTCCCGCACGGGGCTCTGTGTGTGTCTGTGGGGTCGCGCTGGTGTGGGGGGCTCACAGCTGTCCGTCTGTCACTCAGGCTGGCTGTCCTTTGAGGGGATGCTGCTCTTTTACACCGACTTCATGGGGGAGGCAGTGTTCGGGGGTGACCCCAAGGCCCCCCACGACTCAGAGCCCTACCGACTATACAACAGTGGGGTCAGCATGGGCTGCTGGGGTATGTGCATCTATGCCTTCAGTGCTGCCTTCTACTCTGGTAAGATACAGGCATTAACACAATTTACTCCTGTCTTTGTGGGGGAGGGCCATAGGCGCTCATTCTATTTCGTCTTCCTACCCTGTACTACAAAGAAATGGGCTGTAGATCAGTAGACCTGAAGCAATTATGTCACACTTCAGTTTAGTTGTCTGTTGTAGCTGCCTTTAAATATGTTTTATTAATGTTAGAAGTGGTTATTTGTACAGTTAAAAAGCATTGACAACAGCTAGGAATCATGATGTACCTGTAAGCCTAGAGGCAGGGGTGTGGTTCAGGCAGGGGTCAGGATTAGATTATGCTACTACCATGCAGTCTGCAGCAGAAGCGCGAAGGAACAAGTAGTTGTGAAGTACAGGGCTGAAAAGCTGAAAGAAAGAAGGAAAAATGTTTTCGTTCGGCAAGCTTTCGAAACATGTCAGTAGAGGGTGGTCATTATCACAAATCTGTCTTTCTCTGAAAACCTCATCACTATTTTTCATTTAGAAAACATTTAGAAATGCATTTACAGCCACTGATCTTAGTGGTACCCAAATGCTTCTGGCACTGTCACGTTTAAAGGACTTTAAGGCGGATATTGACACTTTCAAACTTAGCAGATGCCACCTGGTGTATGAAAAAAAGTCCTAAATAAAAGTCATTCATGTTGTGGGAATGTACCTATGTCACCTGTACCTATGTCCACCATGTACTGTACTTATATAGGAACATTTTCTCAAAGTTTGTCCACACATTGATTGTAAGCCTTGTGCGTGCATGCACTCACACAGAATAACAGCAAGGCAGCAAGGAGTAAGACACAGTGCTGACACTGTGCTGAAAATATACCACATTGTAGTCATGACGTTTGTACACTCAGCTAGGACATTGTGGTGCCAGCATCCTTCTCTGATGTTGGCACTGTGGCATGGTCTTGCCCACGCTGCACTGTCTGTAAAGCTCTCACTCTCACAGGGAACAGTTTTGAGCAATACAGCCTCTGAAGCGTGGCCAGTCGCTGCCACTACTAATGTAGAATTGCATTCAATTTAAAAAAAATGCTTCCCAGTTACTTGAAGAAAACAAACCGAGGGAGCATTCAAATCTTCAACGACACAGTGACTGATTTTTGCGATGGGTCATGCTCAAGCTAAAAATGATACCTACAGAAAACAAACCCAATTTCAAACCTGAGACAACGGCAGTTACCGTGGTTACCCTCATGCTGCGTGTTTAGCGTCACTGTCTTGGATCCAGACACGGTGACACAGGTGTCGGGGGGAAATGTCCTCGCTGGGGTTTGTCACTCTGTGGCACTGACAGAGTGACAAACAAACAGATCGGCCCGCTACCCGGCCAACTGCAAGTATGCCTTCATCTTTTTAACTGCTAACATTCCTCGTCCTCCTCTCTCTTTCCTTGTTTTTCTCCCGCTCCTGTTCCTCTCTCTCCGCCCGTCCCTCAGCGATCCTGGAGAAGCTGGAGGAGCGTTTTTCCTTGCGCTCCCTCTATTTCTTTGCGTACTTGGCGTTCGGGCTGGGCACCGGTCTCGCCACCCTCTCTACCAACCTGTACGTGGTGCTGTCCCTGTGCGTCACCTACGGCGTCCTCTTCTCCTCGCTGTGCACCCTGCCCTACTCCCTGCTCTGCGAGTACTACCAGAGCCCGCAGGTCAGAGCCGGGCCCGGCGTGGGGGGCCTCTTGTGTCTTTGTGGCCTGGCCCTCGTGTTGCTGAGTCAGGGCAGCCAGGACGTTACCAAGAATGTGAGAAAGATTGCCCGAAAGCTGACGAGAGGGCAGGAGGGGGATTCGGCACGTCTTTCCCAGCTGGTTTTGTTAGTTAATTGATACAGCAGTCATACCCAGCTGTTCGGTGAATCTTTCTCCAGGTGCCCACAAGTTGGCTTTGGGCTAGGCTCTTCTAGGGCTGGCTTTGTCAATGCTTTCTGGGGCTTTTAAATAGTCCGATTGAGTCCTTTCATAGTCTCGCCTGCCCAAGGCTAAACAAAATCGGTACCTGTCTGCAACCAGTCAGGACCCCATCAGGCAGAGAAGGAACTTTGTTGCTCATCTTTGAAATTATTCTGAAGCCACAATGTACATTTTGCGATGTGGCAACACGCGGTCAATTGTTAGCAAATATGTGTAGGACCAACTGAAAACAATACATCGCCCCAAATAAGGAACAAATCTGCATTTGTGAATATCATTTGTGATGTCCTCTGAAGACTAGTGTATTACAAAGGCAACTGCTTGTAATCGGTTAATTGTCAACCGAGACAAAAGGTTAAGTGTAGGATTTATTTATTC